GAGTCAAACCCGACTCATAGCGACCCCTCCTTGGGTTTCCAAGGCAGTATCACTACGGAAGTAGGATTGCCCAACCTTCCTTCTGAGGAGTGACTGGTGGGTTTGAACCGCCAGCCGTCTGGTTAGCAGGCAAGTGTCTTAGCCACTATGCTACCAGAGCTCCCAATTATTATTATAGTGAAGTTATATTTTCTAAAGAACATACCCAGATCCCCTTCTCAGCTGATTGTGCTGTCACAGTGGTTTTCCTGTCTGTCATTTCCTGTCAGGCTCTATGCTATAAAGCCTCGTCATATCTGTGTCCTTAGAGTCTTGCTTTCCTGGTCCATGCTAGTCACTACTTAGTGCCTAATTTGTTGAATGAATAAATTACAAAATGAGTGTTGTAGATGTGCTGGAGTGTAGGTGCCTTGGACATTCCCACCTGCATGGTGTGACCAGTTCATACTGTAAGAACTGGGGTTTACTGAAACACGTGATGACATGTTCATCATTTGTAGAGAGGGTTGTTTGGATTTCTGTTACTTTTGTCTTTATAGCTTCATCAGTAGGATTTGTGATTTAGGTTTCCATGCTGATCCCTCTCTTGGAGAATGGAGAGCTCTTGATTCCTGGCCGAGGTGACTGTCTGAAAGTGGCACCTGGTTTTCAGTTCTTTGCAACCAGGAGGTAGGTCCTAATAACCCCCCAGTTCTCACTCTAGAGCCTCTTCCTACTGAGTCTGCAGGGTGGAATGTGAATCCAGAAGTCCTGGAATAGAGTCGTTTGGGCCCTACTAAAGATAAGTGGGAGCTCCGGTAGCATAGTGCCTAAGGCACTTGACTGCTAACCAGAAGGCTGGTGGTTCAAACCCACCAACCACTCCTTGGAGGGAAGGTTGGGCAATCTACTTCCGAAGTGATACTGCCTCGGAAACCCAAGGAGGGGTCGCTATGAGTTAGGTCTGACTCGATGGCACATAACAACACAACAAGGATAAGTGTTCTGGTTACCTAGTGCTGCTCTGACAAGGATATACCACAAATGGGATGGCCTTAAGAAACAGGAGTTTATTCTTACGATAAGAATATTGTTAAAATTTGGAGGCTTTAAGTCCAAGTTCAAAGTGGCAAGCTCTAGGGGCTGGGTGAAAGCCCCTTAGCCTTGGGCTTCAGCTCTGCCTCCAGCTCCCGTCCACTGAAGCTGGAAGCTTTTCTTCACTCAGGCAGCTACTGGCTGCTGAGGCTGCCAAGCCCAAGGTTGACAACTAAAAAGGCACAGTCCTGATGTTATCAAACCACACAGCAGGCCATTAATTTAAGTCCATTGTAAGGCCTCAGGTCAGCAGAGCATGGCAGGCTGCTGAACGACGACACGGCTACATGCAGGGTCCAAGCGTGCCATAAACTAGAGACCATTCCTAAAGTTGTTGTTTATATACGGGAACCAGACCACATACCTAAAGTCAGCTACTCCGATTCCACCGTGGAGTTGATTACCAGTCTCCTCATGGGGAATACTACATCTAGCTGCCCAGCCACTCAACCAGGCCTAGCCAAGTTGACACACAAACTGAACTACCACAGTAGGTTAGTTGGAACTGATGACAGATCTAACCTTCTCATTCTTAATTATTTTTAATGAGGATGATCAATTTAGAAAACAAAGGATCTTTTTTGTTGTTGTTGTTTTTTCCACTAAAAATTTTTTTTATCTTGTTCTTAAAAATAATTAGATGTTAGATGGTGTTGTCCAGATAGCCTTGGATTTGAGTTCTGACTGTAAAACTTAGTACTTCTGTGTACCTTGGCTGTTTGATTAGGATTAATAATACATGAGGAGCCCTGGTGGTACCATGCTTAAGTACATGGCTGCTAACTAAAAGGTTTATGTTCAAAGCCACTAGCTGCTCTGTGGGAGAAAAGACTTGGTTATTTAATTACTTATTAAGTAACCAAAGCACTTACCTAGTAGAATTATTTGCAGTGATTTGAAAAGAACTGGTTAAAGCTGTAACTGTCACTCCTTCTTAGGAAAGAGTCAAAGTTGGGTCAGCTGGCAGTCTTTGATTTGTTGTCTGCCCTAAAAGCCCAATGTAGTATCTGGCAGAAGGGACTGTGAGTGTTACTGATATGTGAGATATTGTATATAAGTGATAACCAGAGGCATAATTCAAGATTAAAATTGTGACTCCTTTTTGTTTTGGAATGTAGACTCTTGAGCTATGGAGGAAATTGGTATCGACCATTAAACAGTCATGCTACTTTGCTAGACAAATACTGGACCAAAATTCACCTGGATAACATGGACAAGACAGAACTGAATGAGGTACGTAGTTATTAGAAAGAAATTATCAATGCTTTCTTTTTTCACTTTTTACTCTGAAAAGTTCCAGACATACAGGAAAGTAGAGAGAATAGTATAATGAACTACCAAAAGATTCAGCAACCTAAATTTACCAGTTTATTTGTTAGCATTTTACCAATTTGCTTCCACCATTATTTTTTCTTTGCTAAAGTATTTGAAATGGAGCTCTCGTGGTGCTGTGATTAAAGCATTGTGCTGGTAACCAAAAGGTTGGTGGTTTGAGCTCACAAGCTGCTCTGTGGGAGGAAGATGAGGCAGTCTGCTTCGTTAAGACTTAGAGCCTTGGAAACCCTATGGGGCATTTCTGCTCTGTCCTATAGGGTTGCTGTGAGTTGAAATTGATTCAATGGCAGTGGATTTGGTTAAAGTATTTTAAAGTAAGTCTGCTTGAACAATTTCTCTTAGAAAGATGAGCACAAGCCTGGTCCCCATGAGGTGGAGGTTAAAGATGTCCTAAATGTCCAAACTACCATGCCACCCCATCATTTCAGACATTAACTCCTCCTCCTCCTCTCAGTAATTTCCCCAGTCTTAGGGTTCTGTATTTCGCTGTAATGCCTCACAAAACTCACAGACACCCAAGGGTTCATCTCACATAGCAGTGGTGGAGGCTGGCAGGCTGATGAGTCCCAGGTCCGTGAGTAGGTCTGGAGGATCCTCCCAACTCTCAGGGTTTGATGAACCTCGATCAGCAGATCAGATGACGGCTGCTGTCCCAAATCCAGGGGTGAGGTGAGGATGATCCAGGACACAAAGCTGGAGCAAGAGGAGAGTGAATCTTCCCAGGAGATTCGTAGGTATACCCTCAGGGAAGCTAAGGGTGGTGATTTGAATTATACCCTCCAGCAAGGCAGGACTCAAGATACATTCCACCTGTGTTGCCCCAACAGAATTAACCTAAATCCCATCACAGAGTCGATTTTCAGTCATTATAGGGAATGACTACGACCAGCTGCCCAGCCAAGTTGATACTTGACCTTAGCTACCACACTACCCCAAACAGGCATGGATAATGGGATTTATAAAACATCACAGAATGGAGGACAATGGCTGGAAGGGCCACATCAAGCAATTTACTGCAAAGCCCCATAACCTTTCACCCCTAAACACTTCAGTATGTATCCCTAAAAAAGTAAGGGTATTTTTGTATACAATACTGCATCTTAATTATATCAAATAAAATGAACAGTAACTCCTCAGTATCATTGAATACTATATTTAAATTTAAACAGACTATATTTAAATTTCTCCAGTTGTTCTCAAATGATCTTTTTACTAAATTGATTTGTAACTAAGGTTTTATGCTCAGCAACTTAATATATATTTTGATTTGAGTAATGATGAAAATTGAGATGAATTATCTTATGAATTGTAAAGTACTGTTGATGTAATAGATCCTTAACAGGTTTGTCTCACTTTAGACATTCCCCGTGTCCCAGCTACCTCATCACTTAAAAAGGTTCCTGTTCCCCAACTCTGTGTTGGAGAGCAGTGAATAAAGCATTGTCGGTGGTTATATAGGTATGGAAGGAATGCTTTGCTTTATTAACTCTTAGTATAAGTTTACAAATATATAATTAAAAAACAACTTTGCATGGCATGGTTTGCCTAAGAAATACCCTTAAAATATAGAGAATGGGTACTTAAGTTCATCTTTAGGTGTTGTAGTTTCTTCCTCTGTTATGTAAGGGGAATTGGAAGAGATGACTCTTTTAATTGCCAGAGGCTGAGGCCTACCTAGGAGCAGGGAAAGGACTAATTACAAAAAGGTACATGTGGGAATATTTTGCTTTGGGATGATTAAAATATTATCTTGTTTGTCGTGGTGGTTTTTTGATTGGTACATTTGTCAAAACTCATAGAACTCTATACCTAAAAAAGAATGAATCTTTGTCTATAATTATACCTCAGTAAAACTGACTGGCAATAATAATACATTGGGTTGCAATACTGAAGGATTTTATGGGCCACATATTGAATGATGCAGGAAGCATTAAAGCAAGATGGAAGGAATGCACAGTCAGCGTACCAAAAAGAAATGGTCGATGTTCAGCCATTTCAGGAGGTAGCATGTGATCAAGAACTGACGATACTGAAAGAAGAAATCAAGTTGCACTGAAGATATTGGTGAAAAGCTAGAGCTCCAGGAATTGGTGGAATACCTGTTGAGATGTTTCAACAAATGGATTCATCACTAGGAGTGCTCACTCATTTATGTCAAGAGATTTGGAAGACAGCTACCTTGCCAGTTGACAGGAAGATGTCCATATCTGTGCCCATTCCAAAGAAAGTTAATCCAACAGAATGCAGAAATTATCAAACAGTATCATTAATGTCACATGCAAGTGTGCTGAAGGTAGTTCATAAACAATTGCAGCAGTATCTAGAGAACTGCCAGAAATTCAAGCTGGATTCAGAAGAGGACATGGAATGTGGGATATTATTGCTGATGTCAAATAGGGCTTGGCTGAAAGCAGAGAATACCAGAAAGATGTTTAAGGCATTTGACTGCGTTGGTCATAACAAATTAGGTGTAACATTTTGAAGAATAACATTCAGTTGTGCTTATGCAGAGCCTATACATGGACCAAGAAGCAGTTGTTCAAACAGAGCAAGGGGATACTGCATGGTTTAAAGCCAGGAAAAGTGTGTGTCAGGGTTGAATCCTTTTTTTTTTTTTAATAAATTTTTATTGTCATTTGGGTGAAAGTTTACAGTGCAAATTCATTTTCCATACAGCAGTTCATAGACATTTTGTTTTATGACATTGACTGCAATTTTCCACAATGTAACAACTCTCTTCCCACTTCCTCCCTATAGTTACCTCTTCCCTGTGCCCTTCTTTCCTGTGCATTCCTGCCCCCTAAGCTATCTCCCTGTGCAAACACTGCCCACTATCGATCAGTTGATCACTCTAAGGAGTGTATCTAGCTGATGTAAATGTTTACCCGATATGCCTGTCCATTGTTTGGCTGGAAGCTATAGAAGTGAGTTAAGTTCCAGACCTGAAGGGTAAATAGGGGCCATAGTCTTGGGAGTCTCACCAAGCTCTGTTATAGCAATAAACCTGATCATTTTTTTTTGATTTTGAGTTTTATCCCACATTGTTCTCCCACTCTATCCAGGATCTCCTGCACTGAACCCTTTCCGAGTGGTTGACAGTGGTAGCTGGGCACCATCTAGTTCTTCTGGTCTCATGGTCATATAGGCTGAGAATTGCATGGTTCACTAGTTCCTTGGACTAATTGTATCCAAGCATCTTTGGTTTTCTTCATTCTTCTTTGCTCTAGATGAGGAGAGACCCATTGTTGCATCTAGATGGGCCGCTTGCAAGGTTTTAAGACCCTAGTCACTACTCACCAAAATAGGCTGTACAACAGTGTGTTTGTGTAGTATGTTATGCCAACTGAGCTTGATATCCCTTGCAACCATGGTCCCGAGCTCACAGGTCCAACTACTTATTCCCTCAGCGTGGTTACTTGTGTCCAGGAAGTTATCATAACTTTGCCTCTTGTTAGCTCTGTTATATATTTGGACTTTTTATACCACATACAGATACATATGTAGAAATATCATCTGCCAACCTTACATACGGTCATGGGTATATTCCCTTTTTCCTAGACATACCTGATCATTCAGCCTGTCTACTCAGGGTTGCATCCTTTTGCCATACTTACTCAATCTGTATGCTGAGCACATAATCTGAGAAACTAGACTATATGAAGGAGAACACAGCATCAGGATTGAAGGAAGACTCATTAATAAACTGTGTTATAACCTTGCTTGCTATAAGCAAAGAGGACTTGAAGGACTTAATGATGAACATCAAAGACTACAGCCTTCAGTATGGATTGTACCTCAACAAAAGAAAACAAAAAATCCTCACAACTGGACCAATAAGCAACATCATGATAAACAGAGAACAGATTTAACATGTCAAGGATTTTATTTTAATTGGACCCACAGTCAATGCCCATGGAAGCAGCAGTCAGGAAATCAAACAATGTATTATTGCATTGGGCAAATCTGCTGCAAAAGATCACTTTAAAATGTTAAAAAGAAGAGATGACACTTTGAGGACTAAGGTGTACATAACCCAATCTATAGTATTTTCAGTCACCTCATATGCATGTGAAAGCTGGATAATGAATAGGGAAGATTGAAGAAAGATTGATTCTTTGAATTATGAGGTTGGCAAAGAATTTTATATATAATGTGGACTGCCAGAAAAGTGAACACTTCTGTCTTGGAAGAAGTTGTTAGGTGCTGTCAAGTCGTTTCTGACTCATAGCGACCCTATGTGCAGCAGAATGAAACACTTCCCGGTCCTGTGCCAGCCCTGTGATCCTTCCTATACTTGAGCCCATCATTGCAAGTTGTTTTGGTTACCTTTGTGCTGCTCCGATAAGAATATACCACAAATGGGATGGCTTTAACCAACAGGAGTTTATTCTTACAATTTGGAGGCTTTAAGTCCAAGTTCAAAGTGCCAGACTCTAGGGGCTGTGTGAAAGCCCCTCAACTTTGGACTTCTGCTCTGCCTCCTGTTCCCGGCCCACTGAAGCTAGAGACTTTTCTTCACTCAGCTTCTTGCTGCTGAGGCTGACAAGCCCGAGGTTGATAACTAAAAAGGCACAGTCCCAATGTTACCAAACCACATGGCAGGCCATTCATTCAAGTCCATTGAAGTTTCCAAGGGCAGCAGAGCACGGCAGGCTAACAACAGCTTGGCTACGTGCAGGGTTCAAGCATGCCATAAGCTAGAGACCATTCCCCAAGGCTTCTCCTTAACTACAGGAAGCAGACTACATCCCTAGGGCTGCTGCTCAGCTGCTCACAGCAGATTCCACCATGGAGTTGATTGCCAGTCTCATCATGGGGAATACTACATCCAGCTGCCCAGCCACTCAACCAGGCCCAGCGAAGGTGACACACAAACTTAACTACCACACAGATTGTTTGCTCATCATTGGAAGAAGTACAACCAGAAAAATGCTCATTAGAAGGGGAGGATGGCTAGACATCATCTCATGTACTTTGAGCATGTGATCAGGAGGGACCAATCTTGGGAGAAGGACATCATGCTTGGTAAAGGAGAGGGTCAGCGAAAAACAGGAAGACCCTCAACAAGATGGATTGACACAGTGGCTGCAACACTGGGGACAAGCATCAGTGAAAGTTATGATGGATAGATAGCACAGGACCTGGCAGTGTTTTGTTCTTTTGTACCTAGGATTGCTGTGAGTTGGAACTGACTTGACGGCACTTAACAAAACCTGACTTGAGAAAAGTAAAATTACTAAGGCTTTCTTTATGCTTTAACCATGTGCCTAATTTTCTAAATGTTCCTTCACATACAAAATAGTAAATGAGCCATGTGTGTTCCATTAAATTGAATTTGATTTCATTATTCCATTTTTCTACGTTTTCTAGCATATATGAAATACATGTTAAAAAATATTTGTTGTAAATCCTTCATGTTTATACATGGAAGGAAACTTTCTTTGTTGGTTGCCAGGGATGGGAGGGGAGGGGAAGGAAAATTTCTAAATAGGCTGAAAAAAGAAAAAAAAAACCATATATATAGAAACCAAAGATTATTAGTGGTTACCTGGGATAGGAGGGAGGGGGAAAGGGAAAGCTTTTATTTGCAGGGCATTGAGTTTATGCTAATGGTTTTGGAATATTTTGGAAAAGGATAGCAACAATGATGGCACAATGTGAAAAATGTCACCAATGTCCCTGAGATGTAATTGTGAAAGTTGTTATGTTAGCGAATGTCTTGTTGTGTATGTTTTCACCACAATAAAAATATAAATAAATAAATAGGGAAATTTTTTTTAATAAGATCTATCATTTGAGCTGACATTCTTAAGGTTTTAGTTCTTTATTTTGTAAATATGTGGGCATTGCTTTGTATAATATATACAAAATGTGTATACACTGCATATACAAAATTGGAACACTGCATATACAAAATTGGAATCACAGTATACTTTTTCAAAGCAAATTTAAATATATTTGATGTTGTTGTTGTTATGTGCTGTCGAGTCAGACTCGACTCATAGCAACCCCTCCTTGGGTTTCTGAGGTGGTATCACTACAGAAGTAGATTGCCTAGCCTTCCTTTTGAGGAGTGGCTGGTGGGTTTGAACTGCCAACCTTCTGGTTAGCAGTCAAGTGCCTTTGGCACTACGCTACCAGAGCTCCTATATTTGATGATAATTTTTTTAATATATATGTAATATTTACTTGTTTTGTTAGAGACAAACTTAACTGACCAAATCAATATCAAAGCCTTTGAGTCAATATTACAAACCTCTAGTATTATACAGTGTGGAACCTCAGTAAATCCTCAACAGCTATTGAAGTGAATATGGAGCTCTGGTTGTGCAGTGGTTAAAG